AAGATGAAGAAGATGAAGAAGAAGATGAAGATGATGAAGAAGATGAAGAAGATGAAGAAGATGAAGAAGAAGATGAAGATGATGAAGATGATCGCGATCGCGGCCGCGGGGGCAGTGGGAGCGGCGTGATGCACACCTTTGGTGATGCGATATGTTTCATGATACACCATTGGCAATGTAAGAACACACCTTTCATGACACACCTTTGGTGATGCAATTTGTATCATTGCTTTTAAAAGAAACTGCTGCCTTTTGCTGGTAAATTCCTAGATTTGTGCGATTTGTAAATCACAGAAAATACATTTATGCAATGGTAAACTACACTCTTGTTAAAATAATTATGACAAATTTTGAATCAAAATTATTATTTATTAACAGAAAGTCAGATCCATGGGTAACTACAGTATTTCTGAATATGCTGGAAAGTAATACATGAACACATTATATAAACAAATTTCATAAAATTTAGAAACAGATCCCACAAGATATTCTAAATAGTAACGTAAAGTGCACAATGTGCACATTTAAAAACAATTTGCTGCAACCATGCCCCACTAATAATTTCACACATTACTTTCGTGAAGTATCAAGCCATGTTCGTGTTCAAGTGTTCGAAAATCATTCCATGCATTGAATAGCGAGTAAGCCTGTACTACAAAAGGCAATCCACTCCTTTGTGGAGAAACATGGAAAGAACCCTCCACCCATAAACGTCTCAGAGTTTATAAATGTAGTTTAACGTCATTACCGCTCAAGAGGTCACGACCTTCATTGTTACTACCTACTCACGACTACATGGACATTCATTCGTGCCTGCCATTGAACGCTCTATTGTCGCTGGATTCATTTTACGTAGAACGAATTTAAAACTAGTAGAGCCCGATGGAACTACAACTGGATTTAAAAACGGGATTTTTGAAAAGGCATGCTACAATAAACCCTACGAGGCATGCACACACGTCAAATGCCCCACACGTTATTTGTGGGGGAAAAATAGTGTGAGAAAAGAATTATAGCGACTCGGCTACGATGACAGGTTACCACAGAGTAATCCGTAGCATTGAGCTGAGATGTCCGGATCACTCTGGCCTAAGACTTAGTTGGCCAAGCAAGTGACCTAATCATAAATGCAAACACGGATGGGTCACTGCGTATAACCTTGTACCGAATTATTGCTCCGAATGCTTTATTTTTGTCTATTACAATGCTAGCAGTTTCTCTAAATTTAAGACGAACAAGCGTCTGAATATTTTCAATATTTGCTGAGAAAACTATGATGAGAAATATATAAATAATAGTTTAGTTGAAATGTTAATCCTTTTTGGTTCTTTGAAAATGACTCATTTGACTGCCCCCCTCCCCAAATTCCATCTTCTGCACTTTCTCAACCAATCAGAAATCATTACAGCATTCCTGAAAATAAAATTCACGCTATCCTCTGATCAGAACAGCACCTTCAAAGGCAGCGTGCTGACTATGGATGCAAGTCTTCCCCACACAATAAAGAACATAATCGACATTTAGCACTATATCTACATGGCAATTAACTGCAATTAGAATGTCAGTCATCACATTATGCGATGATACGCACGAGGAATTCCTGCCTCTACGAATCAGGACAATAGAACGCTGTTACCATGGCAAGGATCAAAGCCATTGGAGGAGGAAGGGGGAAGCGGCAGCAGCGTGAACAGCGTGAACTAGCAAGCCAGCGTGGCTCGTTAAATAGCAAGGTGAGTGGTACACCTACGGATCAGTGAGGAACGATTTTTCTGGTGGCGCCTCACCCCCCCCCCCTCTCTCTCTCTCTCTCTCTCTTCTCTCTCTCTCTTCTCTCTCTCTCTCTCTCTCTCTCTCTCTCCGTGATGACCGTGTCAGCATCCGCGGCGGCGGCAGCAGCGGCAACCCGCGACGGTGGCTGACGTAAAGGTCACGCCGCCGTCGTCGCCTTCTCGTTACCCGCGACAGTAAAACGGCGAGGCAATTATCCGCGGTCGCTCGGCCGAATTAATTACGCCGCCTGACAAGCCATCCATAAATCACAAACATTTGAGGTGCGCGCGCGCGGCGGACGCGGCAAGGTATGCCGCGGCCGCGCGCGAGCGAGCGGATTAGATCCATCAACACACAACACGTTCGGCACACCGGTGTCTCCTCAGGGGAGGAGGGAGGGAGGGGGAGGCGGAGGGGGAGAACACCGGTCGTCCTCCGCGAAACCGATCGGCGGAGTTAATCGCCGAGATCGTTACTCTCGACCCGCCGACGTCGGCGCTCGCGAAAGCTGCGCGGCGGGAACGAGTGAACAAGTGAACGATGTTCACGATGATGATGGACGCGGCGATGAAAGACATGCGAGATGAGACGAGAGAGACAGCGAGTGAGAGAAAGAGAGAGAGGAAGAGAGAGGGGGGAGGGAGAGGGAGAGAGAGAGAAAGAAAGAGAGATAGAGAAAGAGAGCGAGAAAGAAAGAAAGAGATAAAGAAAGACAGCGAGAGAGTACAAGAGAGTGTGAGAAAGAAGGATAGAGAAAGAGAAAGAGAGAGAGAGAGAATGAAAACGGGAGAAATGCAGACGTCGTCGTTAACGCGCGACGATTAAAGCCGGTTAAATCGTCTCGTGACACGCGAGTCGTTTTCTCACAGACTCGTGTCCGTGCGCGTGTGTGTGCGTGCGTGCGTACAGCATAAAGCCTCAATTAAACAACACACATAATCTACGCGAGTAGGCACTTTAACGGCATGCGCTGTAGAAACAACTGCGCAGTACCGAATTACCCGTCGCCTCCCTCACGCACTCTGCGACGCAGACGAACATCTCAACATTACGGCTTTTGCTGGAAAATCAGATAAGGTGCGCATTATCCGCAGAGATGAATATTTTATTGCGCAGAATACATTACGGCGAGGGAGGGAGCGAGTGGTGGGGGACGTCCCGCCGGCAGCGCATTCATAACACCACGGTGGTGGCGCCACACAGGCAGCAGACTCTGCAGTACATGGCTGTCGACCCACCCCGCAACAATAGCCACGCGTCTACAATAGCCTGTGCGCCGCACGAGTTACCGCTGCTCCCCCTTTACTAACTTCCCTAAGATAACATCCTGCGACGCGGGCGGGCGGCAGCAGCACGAGGAGACCTGCTGCCGACGAAAGAGACCGAGACCTCGCTACCTGAATAATTCCACCGCGAGACGTACTCTCCACTACAAAACATTTACTGCTCACGCACAGGAAGCCGTAAAAGTGGTAAGGGAGTGAACTTTTGCATGCAGATTCCGATATTCTATCTGGTCTGTGATGGACGCTGCTGATGTGAGCTGTTGCTACTTGCGGTGATAACACCAGGAGATTAAGACGGGACATCACCGCGGCGTGAGCGAACTGGCATAGTGTGGTATACAACCCCGCTATGACAAACGTTCCCCCGCTACACTGGGCATGAACATCGTCTAGCAGGGGGCATCTTATATCTGTGACTGTGACACGAAATATGAAATCTAAAGAAATCTGGCAGAACCTCTTGCACATGCAATCATGCACCTCCCCCCCCCTCCCCACACACACACTCTCTTTCTCTCTCTCTTTTTTCTCATTCACTCTCTCCCGCATCCTATCTCTCTCACTTCCCTCACCTCTCCATCTCTTCGCAAACCACACAACCGCACAAAGCCAAAGGTGCAGATTGCGGACTTGGGACGTGTCAGACCAGCATCGTATGCTGGTCCGCTCGCGCTATGGCTTCCAACCACTCCTCAAGCAAGCATCTGGCCAACACTTGCAGACTCGTGCGCCGACACACGTCATTAGTGAGCCTATATTTGGGTTTTCCTTATCATCAACCCCTCTGGTGCAGCAGTAGCAACAGCAGCCGATAATTAATTACATGCATGAGAGATATCAACGCGCGCACTCAACGAAATTGCAAAGCAGTTTCTCTAGAAATTCCGCTTACAGCATTGGGCCGCCGTCACGATTAAACGCTCACTCGTTACCTTCACACACCTGCGCACACGTCTTCCTTGCTCTTGCTCGCTCGCTCGCCTTGCCGTACTCCTTATATATGCATGTGCACTAACACATACACTTACGCACGCACAACCGCACACAAAAACACACGCGCGCACGTATGCACACACTACGGTAACTGCTCCCTTTCCCATGCGACAAGCGAGCGTCCGACCCGCTACGTACACCACCCGTACTTCGTGGTAACTCCACCCCCGCCCTTACCCCCATGCACCGCCCGTACCTCACCGTAACCCAGCCTCCGCCCCCGCACGCGCCGCCCCTGCCAGCACCTTACCTGCTCGTACTTCTCCAGCTCGGTGTGGTAGATGGAGCGTATCTGCGCGAGCTTCGCGCGGTAGTCCGAGTGCTCGATGGCGTTGTCCGGCTGCCCCGGCCCGCCGGACACGGCCGCCGATGCGTTGGCCGCCGCCGCTGAGCCGCCGCCCTTCTCCGGTCCGGCGACGCCCTCTGCCAGCAGCATGTTGTCGAGACGCAGCAGCTGCGGGTCGGGCGGCTCCTCCTCCTGCTGCCCGCGGATGCTGAGCACTGCAGCGAGAGAGAGAGAGAGAGGGGGAGGGTGAGCTTCAGTTTACACAGTGCGAACAAGGAGAGAGAGGGACGGGGGAGATTCAGTTTACATGTCATGAACACACACACACACACAGACAAAACACACACACACACACACACAGACAGACAGACAGAAAGAGACGAGCAGACGATGATGAGAGAGGACGAGACGAGACGAGACGAGAGGAGGACGCGAGCAGAGACAGAGACAGAGACAGGAGACAGAGACAAGACCAGAGACAGAGACAGAGACAGAGACAGGAGACAGAGAAGGATACTAGAGACAGAGACAGAGCACAGAGACAGAACAGAGCACAGAGACAGAGACAGAGGACAGAGAGAGAAGAGAGAGAGAGAGAGAGAGAGAGAAAGGAGAGAGAGAGAGAGAGAGAGAGAGAGAGCAGAGAAGAGAGAGAGAGATGAGGAAAGGTGAGCGTCAGTTTACTTAATGTGAAGATAGGGAAGGGGGAGATTTCAGTTTACATGTCAGTGGAAGCGTGACATCACACACGCACGCCACGCCACGCACGCCGCACGCACGCACGCACGCACGCACGCACACCACACACACCACGCGCGACAACCACACACACACACACACACACACAGAGAAGGGAAGACAACGCGTAGTTCATGTGGTTACAAGCTGTTGAACACGAAGAGAGAGAGACGAAAGGGGGGACAGGGGAGGGAGAAGGAGGCGATTCAGGTTACACGTCGTAAAACACGGGAGAGGGGAGGGGTGACGAGGTTTAGTATACATGTCCTGAGCAGCTGACAGAGGGATGGGCGAAAGGTGAGATTCAACTTTACATGTCGTAAAACACGGAGAGAGGAGAGGGAGGTTCAGCTTTACATGTTCGTAAAACACGGATGAGAGAGAGAGGTGTGAGATTCAATTAAACATGGTCGTAAAACCGAAGAGAGATGGGGCGGGAGGTTGCAGCTACGAGTTGATAAAAACCGGAGAGAGGGAGGGGGGTTCAATTTACATGTCGTAAAACACCGAGAGAGGGAGGGTGGAGATTCAATTTACATGTCGTAAAACACGGAGAGATGGGACAGCGGGAGGTTCAGACCTTACATGCGTCGTAAAACACGCGAGAGAGGAGAGCCGGGATGCTTCAGCTTACATTGTCGTTTTAAAGCACGGAGAACGAGGACGGGGTGAGATTCAATTTACATGTCGTAAAACACGGAGAAAGGGAGGGGGAGATTCAATTTACATGTCGTAAAACACGGAGAGAGGGAGGGGGTGAGATTCAATTTACATGTCGTAAAACACGGAGAGAGGGAGCGGGAGGTTCAGCTTACATGTCGTAAAACACGGAGAGAGGGAGGGGGTGAGATTCAATTTACATGTCGTAAAACACGGAGAGAGGGAGAGAATCAACTTACATGTTGTAAAACACGAAGAGAGGGAGCGGGAGGTTCAACTTACATGTTGTAAAACACGGAGAGAGGGAGCGGGAGGTTCAACTTACATGTCGTAAAACACGGAGAGAGGGAGAGAATCAATTTACATGTCGTAAAACGCGGAGAGAGGCAGCGGGAGGTTCAGCTTACATGTCGTAAAACACTGAATAGGGAAGGGATGAAGTTCAGTTTACATGTTGTAAAACACGGAGAGGGGAGTGGGAGGGTCAGCTTACGTCGTGCAGGACAACAGAGAGAGAGAGCTAGAGGTGGTGGTGAGAGTTACGCACCCTGTGGTCACGCAGCGAAGAGGTGGCGGACTCTAAACATCATGCACAACCGTAGAGGTAGAAACTCGTGCTAACTCGTTACGTGCCGAAACATAAATCTTAGTGCCTCCCAAACCTAGCTACCTACAGCAGTGCTCGAGTCAGCGGTACAACACAGGAAAATAACCCGGTGCTTAAACTTTTAAGCTTTTAAACTTTGGCACGCTAGCAACTAAGTGGTAACACCTATAAACAATCATTTTCGCCGACCACTTCTTTGCCAACTTCCAAGTAAATTCTTGTTTGTAAGTACCCGACTCATCATTTTAAGGGGGCAAACAAGGTAGGCTGGCAAGAAATACACGTTTTGCTGCATTGCACACATTGCATGCAGCTATAATAGTTGAATGTGAGCAATGATTTAAATAGGTAATAAAAAAGCCAAAAAAAAACATCAATTTCGTGAATTTCACAAGTCGGTGCATGGAGAGGTGCGCCATCGAGACGAATCAAAGGAAACAAGTCAATCTCTAACTTCTTACATTATTCTTACATTCCCAACATAATTTTGTTTTCATTTTGCTAGCTCTCCCTCTTGCTTAAATACAAGCAAATTAGATGCACATATATTATTTGCATTAATTGACAGCACAAATTAAGTGACTTGTTGGTGGTAAGTGTTGCCTCGCAGGCTACCGACCAGTAACTACAACCTGTCATGCTACTCCTTAAAACACACATTATAGAGTCCACTGCCTGCAGCTAGCTCCAAGCAGCTCTTTGTGAATGGAATGCAGGAATGGGGTTTGCTGCACGTATAGGTACAATCGCACGCACGCACGCATGCACGCACATGCACACGCACACAAATGCACGCACAAATACACGCACACACACACACGCACGCACGCACGCACGCACGCACGCACGCACGCACGCACGCACGCACGCACACACTCACGCCCACGTACACACACACACACACGAGCGCGCGCTATCCATAATAGTTGAGAAAGTCAATACCAGATAAGCCACGTAACACACGGTCTTTGTTGGGAGAGTTTCTTGTAACGAGTGCTGAGTACCATTAGGAGCTAGTCTAACCTGCGCGCCACGGTTTACGTACTGTTAGCAATCCACCACAGGCCATAGGCCATACCACTCAAACAGCAACATTTACACAGCGTGTGCTGCTGACATTTCTGCTCATCTCGAGGTTTCCAAGTTTCAATTTAAATATTTTCATTTCAGATTGGGGAAATTGATCGGGATCATATAGTAATAAAAGAGAGTTATATACACTTCCAATTTATATTATAGGGCCTGTGTTAAGAAATGTAGATTGTGTAAAGCTAGTTATTTATTTTTTCTATATTTCCTATTGCACTAAGTCAAGTTTAGAGTGTCACGTTTTTTCCTAACATTAATTATAACGAAAAAATTAGGAATAATTTAATAATTATTAGGATCAATTTCATCAACAAATTTTGTCGGTAACAACAATTATTCTCAGAACAAGCGCAGAATAAGTGGATGAACGGGCTTGGCCAAATTTAACATAAAATGAGACAATTACCCACAGCGAATGGCGAACAAGACTGCAGAAATTTAACGTCCGATTTTTTTTGGAGGATATTGCCGTAAAACATCCAATCATTCGGAGCATCAGACTGTTCATCTCGGAGCATAAGTTATTATAGCGCATCACATATTTTACTGCAGACAGCAGCTCGGCCAATGACGAGTAATTAATTAATTTCTGCTAGACTGCTATGTGTCTCTCCCTCCGCAGCTCGTTCCTAACGTCTGTGAAAATTACAGGTTGCCAACCACGCTATGACTCCAGATACTTCGCCATCCTTTCTAGCAGTCTTTTTTTGCCATTTATGCCAGCCAATAAGTACAACTTAACGGAATTGAAATCGAATGAAAAAAACCCAGAGAAACCATGGAATCGACCCACATCACGAAAATCCCAATTTACTGATCTGCAGGGGATTGTGAACGCATGAAATATTCACGTGTAAATCAAGGAAACGCGCAAATCTGCTGCCACCGCCACTGCGGCGTACGGCATTTTCTTCTCACCCCGAGCCTGCACCCCCGCAAGACCCGCTAACCGCGTTCTACACCATAACAACGTCGTACGACAAAAGCGTAATTCAACGGCTGAACTACAAACATAATATCTACATCTCTCGAACGTGAACAGTAACGTTTCGCTGCATTCTTCCCCCCACGTTTCAGCACATTAATTAGGATGGATTCAACATCTACACGCGCAAGTTTAAAAAACTAAAAATGATTTGCCTTAATTAGCCCAGTCCTGCTCAAGGAAACACTAATTAAGCTGGCCACGTAGTAGACAGAAAGGCTGATATGCACTGATATTTCTGCCATGCCTACAACATGTATAATAATCAATGTCGTGGAAAAACTCGCAGTGGAAAGTCTAAAAGGGCTTTTGTACTGCCAACAGCATAAACACAAAGATATTTGCATAAATTAACTATGACATCATCCATAATAATAAACAGCCCGTGCATACACACCCCTACACATGAATGCCAACAACAAAACTGGGGGATTGTAAGAATATGGGAGGAGAAGAGAGCGCGCACGCGCATGCGCGTGCGAGACACGCGCACAGATAGATCTAGTCAGTCAGACAGACAGATAGATAGATAGATAGATAGATAGATAGATAGATAGATAGATAGATAGATAGATAGATAGATAGATAGATAGATAGATAGATAGATAGACAGATAGATAGATAGATAGAGAGAGAGAAAGAGAGAAAGAGAGAGAGAGAGAAGAGAAGAGGAGGGGACGAGGACGAAGAGAGTAGGAGAGAGAGGAGAACGCGAGAGACGGAGCGGAGAGAGTACTAGTACACGAGTAGACGTAGACTAACCGTAGTTGCTTAGCATT